CACGTATTAGCAGTTTGACGACGGCCTAAGGTCCACCCCACACATGCCCACCTCAAATTAAAGTGAGGCCGTTACTCCGCCGGCAACGAGTCTGCACCAAATGCGTCGCTGATATGGCCTCAAGCTTCTACACATCCTTAGATGCCCCCTCGAAAGCGTGTCTTCACACCTCGGTCTTTCTAGCGCCGCACGAACTCGTATCTTTGACGTTACTTCGCGGCAGTGGCGCATTTCTCGACGTTTCACGCGCAAACCGCGTGCGCATTTGGCTGCTCGTGCTTCTGTCTCCGATGGCAATCGGTTCGCCGAACGACGTTTCATCGACAGTTCGTTTCATCGAAAGGCTTCCCGCGCGCGTACGTTTTGTCGAACTTGAACCCTGCTGTTTTCGCCAAAACCTTTGTGCGTCTTGTCTGGTATTACGGGCGAAAAGAGAGACAGAGAGGGGGGGGGGGGGGGGGGGGGGGGACTTGGGGCTCGGGTAAATACGCCTCAGTGGATCACGCGCTAACCTTTAGCTCCTAAACCTAATTACGCACTTCATAAAAAAAAGTGTTGATTTGGAAACGTCGCAAGAGCATGTGCGTACGAAAACGCTAGTGTCGACGAAACGCGTGTCTATGGAAGGTTGTCTACGAAACGTGTTTCGACCAGAATAGACAAAAATCAAAAGTTATTTTTAAATAAAAAATACAAAAAAAGTTAACATGTAAGTTAGATTAATTTGATTTAAATCACTGTAGCTATAAAATAGTAATTCTTTAACACTATACTCGTTCTCACCTCGTGAACCTTAGTGAAAATATGTATGTGCGTGCATCTTAGATTAGTTTTGTTATTTTATCAAGACGTAGACGTTTCAAGCCCCAAGGCATCGCTCCCTCCTCCGACAACCAAATCTTGCAAGAACTACGAAAGAATTACTGTAAATGTATAGTAGCTTATTTAACAAGTTTTTATTAATGTAATCGCCGCCATACTAGAAGGAAAATAGATTTTTATTAGTTAAAAAGCTTTATATGAGTTGGCTTTCGCGTTCTGACTTGATGTCAATTGAACATTATTGAGGAGTTTCAGCGACGGTGTCACCGCCCTGGCGGCCGGTCGCCGAAAGAGAACGAGGGGGATAGGTTCGCTGGGCGGTGGCTTTGTGTATATGCGTTGGCCGCGAACGTAGGCTTATAAACTTCGGCAGCAAGAATATTACGCGGCTCTAGTGTTTCGGCACGAGCAACAGAGGTGACACGATCTGCTACGACCAGCTACGACCACCCGCCGCAGCGATGCAGGCGTCGAAGGAGCGCAACCTGTGTACTACGCAGTCAGCCGCCGTCGCCCGACGCAGATCGTTCGGCATTCAGGGCTTTCCGCCCCGGGTTCTTCGCTTGTACTTGGAACCGAGTATTATTTCCTGTGCTTGTGTATGTGCTCAGTGGCTGGATATGGACCTCATAGAGCAGTTCTTCAGACTCAACAGCGATTCAAAGTTGACGGCGGAAGGGCTTGCGGCAACGCTTTCGGTTGGTGCACGGCTGCGACGACTACACGGATAAATTTTAAGATTGGTGCTAGCAAGGTGGGCCATAGTCGCTTTATGTTGACACGATTTTGAGTGTAAGTACTCCGTGCAAAGGCGAATCTATCGCGTTTCTAATCCACCTTTGTTTTTGTTGTTTTTAGCACGCACGACCGACTGCTAAGCAAATGCTTCTGTACCGATCACGGAGTGAATGTCTTCGGCCTTACATTGCGAAACGCCGAATAAAAAGTCATATTCGTTCAGCAAGAACACTTCCCTTTCGAGTGACCTTCTGATTGATAATTTCTCCCGTACTTAAGTGCTTTAATCAACACGATCGATTAAGTTTGCTTCCCTAGTTAGGACATTTTTGTGCTACATGCGGCACTAATGCTTGGCACGATGTTTGCCACTGGTGGTATTGTGAATTGGTTTACTTCCAAAGCTAACAGTGTGACACGTGGGACCATTCAATTTGCTAAAAACGTGATGATATGGGAAGTTTCGTTGCATAACTAGCGTTTTACGTTTAAGATTGATAAGAAACATGCTCATGTGATGATGCATGTCTACAGCATAAGCTTTGCAGATCCAGAATAGGTGTGCTATAGGCTACAGCCTCAAGGTTTTTAATGGACCAAATTGGTGACTACACAGCAATAAATGTTGTGGTGAAAAACTGCCCATTGACTCGGTGAGTTTTGATTGTGACCATTGGTGTGCTGTTGGCAAATTAGATAATGGCACACCTTTTCCCTGACCATCTGGCTTCAAGGGGCATTGCATCTAGATGTGCTCAAATATCTTTATTTCAAGGTTCAGTGGACCCCTCTGCATCATTACAGGAAGGCAGTCTCAAGCCACAACAAACAGCAGTGAATATAGACGCTTTACACACGCGCCAAATTGAGCCGCCATAGCCGCCCTTCTCTTGTCTTACTGAGATGCCGAGCCACTGAAGCCGGCGTTGACGAGTCTCCACAAGGGCCTATGCTGGGGAGAAAGACACAGTAGCACTTAAAGTGACAATAACCTGGCCTGCTGTGGCAATGGTGAAGTGAAGCGAACGAAATAAGAGGGAACAAAAACTGAAGGTCAGTTATGGCGGCGTCCATGCACAGCTGCTGCAAAGCGTCTATACAATGCGTAATAACAGGCACCAGTGTCCAGGCGTATAGTCCGCAGTAATCAGTTTGAGCCTAAAAACGTTTCTGTTTTGTTTAGATAGTTTGCATTTGTTGTATAATCCGCAGGGCCCGATTTCCGCGCCCAGTGCATAGTCCGCCAAGCTGGTGCGTTGTGTCTTCGTGCTTTTTTTCCTGGGTGGCATTTTCTTCAGAAGTTCTTCGGTGAACGCTATTGAGCCTGAAGAACTGCTTTTGAGGCCCATATCTAGCCACGGAGCACACACAAGCACAGAAAATAACGCTCGGTGCCAAGTACAAACGAAGCACCTGGGCGGAAAGCTGTGAATGCCAAACGAGCTGCGTCGGGTGACGGCGACTGACTGCGTTGCGCCCCTTCGACGCCTGCATCGCTGCGGTGGGTGGTCGTAGCTAGTCGTAGCGAGATGATCTTCATTTTAAGCAAGAAATCTTGTTATACCATAGTCAAGATATGTGTGCAAGTGTTCGACGACGTGGGCTCTCTCACGTTGGTGCAGTTGTCATCAAGAAAGGTGCATATCAACAATGTTGCGTGTTTGAGACTGAAACTATGACGCACACTTATCTAAACCTAAATTTATCGGTCTGCGGCTACAAACATTTTCGTTGACGTTGCTTAGATGATGTAACCATTCAGGCCTCGCATTAAATGGTGTTGCGACTCTTCGGTTGTGTATGAAAACCTATTTTTGCTTAATAAAAGACATTTCCAAAAGGACATGTGTCTTCTGCTGATACATATCTTCCAATTTACAATGCAGAGGCAAACAGAAAATGAACTGCGTACATCTACCACTTAGCATAAGCACCTTTGGCATTCATTCTTGAGCACACTCAAATATCAGCTTAGTTTGGTCTTGTTTTAGAAGCTTTGCCCTGTTCTGTAAAAATAAAACAGTTAAAAAAGCTTTACCTTCGTTCTCCTTCTTGCATTTAATACAGACTTGTTTGTCAGCAGATATCACCGTGGCACATACAACTCGAATGACCGATGAGACTATTGCTATTACAATAAAGCTTTCCACAAGAGCCAAAACGAGGCTTGTAGGGGTGCAAAAGCACATAGAAATGAGATTGGCACTTCCGGGAATTGTTTACATTACGCGTAAAAACAGGACGACCGGCGACCAGCTGATCGCAAGATAACACCAAGGATACCGATGTTTCGATACGCAGGATAAAGACCTCAATCGTCCCTTGTATGCAGCAGTTGTCATACTTTCTATCCAACCGCTTTTTTGCTCAATTAACTAGAACAACCGAAGAGTTCGCGACACCTTTTAATGCGAGGCCTGAATGGTTACATCGTCTAAGCAACGTCAACGAAAATGTTTGTAGCCGCAGACCGATAAGTTTAGTCTTAGATAAAGTACGCGTCATAGTTTCAACGCGCGAACATTGTTGATATGTACCTTTCTTTGGACCCGCGTACATTCGGTTCAACTTGATGACAGCTGCACCAGAAGTGAGAGCTCACGTCGAACACTTGCACACATATCTTGACTCTGGCAAGATTTCTTGCCTTCAACTGGCTTGAAGACTTCATCTGTAGCATCACGGTAGGTCTTGGTTGAAACGATGATCGTCTCGCACACGGCAACAAACAGAGAACTACACGCTTTGTTTTATTTATACGCTACCGGTCTACGGGCGTCGCAAATCTATCCCCCTCTTGTCCGCCATGTTGGATCGATCGGAGCGCCCCCTATATTCGCTGAAACTCCTCAATTACTTCTCAAGTATTTCTTTTGCGTTCCGATTTCGTTAGGCTGTTATGTAGCTGAGAAACGGACTGGAAGGTAAAAATCAAGCTCAATGCTCCGATTTGCTCAAAAGAGCCATTCGTTTTGCTTGTGCTCAGCCCTATATCAATCTTTCTTGCTTGGTGATTCTTCGATATAAATACACAACAAATGCTCCTAATAAAGCGTCAAATGATAGGCTAGTCGTAAATTTAAAATATTTTCTGGTTTGTTTTGGCGGGAAACGATACGGACCACTTGCCTGTGTCACATTTAACTTGAGCTTAGCAGAAGAGTTGGGAACATGCTCGCGTTGTGGTCGGCGTCGCTCGCAATGAGAGGACCTTGCGCATATGTGCAGTGCCCAGAGTTTTCACTTAACTGCACGCTTGTTTGCATGAAATGGTGGAGCATTAGGCAGAAGGACAATTGGCAACGATAGAATGCCTTCGTGGGCGCCAACAAGCAAGACAGACACGCCGGTAGTGTATTATAACACGGTGCGGCACGGCACATCCAAGACTTAGTTGTCCCCTGCCCCAGATCAGACAACCAGAAACACCGATTCCTCACCTGCGGACGGCGCAGTGGAGCACTCCTCAACGGCGACGATTCTTCAGCCAGCGTCACGGTAGAAGACTCGGCACGCGAGGTCCGCTCGCCGTCACCAGGCCGATCCTGATGCTGCAATCCCGGCGTCGGCGGCACTGGCGACGGCACGGGAGTTTGCACGTCGGCGTTGCGAGGCATCCACGACACCGACGCTTCCTTGCCGGCCGCATCCGAAAGGTCCGAGTCACACATGAGGAACGGCGACGTGTCCGCACCGGTGAGCGGGTAGTTGGCACTGATCTTTCGTCGCGGAAGCCCAGCTTCCGGCACGGCTTCGAGCGACGAGGACCCTTTGAGCTGCGTGTCGTCCAGGGACAGACTGTTGGACAGGTGAGCGGGTCTCGACCGGGGTTCCTGATGCGACGCCGGCTGCTGCTGCTGTTGCTTCTGCACGGGCTGCGCGGTCGTCGTCTGCCGCTCGGCCGAGAGGAGGAAGCTCAGGTCTTCGCAGAAGGCCGTCTTCTGTTTCTCGCCGGACTTGCGCATTTCTTCTTCCAGCATCTCCCCGTACGGTCCGCGAAGACGTTTCTTGGAATAGCGTCGCTGCGGGCTGCAAGTTCGCTCGGTGTCTGACGTGGCACGTTCAGAGTCCGAGAGCGGGGCCGGGGGTGCGCGGCTCAGGGCGGCAGGGCCCGAGTGTTGCCGCTTGTGCAGAGCCGCGGGGCAGCTCAGCTGGGGCTCGCTCCGGCAGCCGCCGGCCAGGAGGAACTCGGGCAGTTCCACGGAGGTCCCCGTGTTGTCCGCGCTGGGGTCGCTCAGGTGTTTCTTCTTGCACTTGGTCTCCTGTCGCTGCTCCGAACGCTGTTCGGGTCGTGAGGACAAGCTCTGCACCACGTCGCCGAAGGTCTCCCCCAGCGCTTCGCTGGGGCAAAAATGGCTGTCGGCGAGGGACAGGTCGCTGGGTTGCTTCTCGGGTCTGCCCCCGAGGGACTTCAGCCCGTTGCTGTCCACGGAGGAGAAGGCAAGCTCCTGTTCGGCCGTCTTCCGCTGGGGTGGGTACGTGAGGGAGCGTCCGGTCTCCTTCTTGGGACCTTCCACGGGCGCAAGCCCCTTGCGGCGCTTTCGTTTTTCGGGAGGTTGTGGCGGACCTCGGGTCCCGTCGTCGTCGATGGGGGCGAACCGGCATCCCGACCGCTGGGGCACCCTGCCCCTCCGGTCCGCCGCGGGGGGCGACGTGTCCCGCTGGTACGCGGTCTCGTCAACAATGGACTCGACGGCGGAGTCGAGGCTCAGGCTTGACACCGCGACGTCGTCCAGCACAGTCCTGGCGGCCGGGCTCGTCCTCGATACAGCCGCAGTCCCGCGCACCACGGTGGCTGTCGTAGCACCGAAGGAAGGCCTTGCCGTCGCTGCCTTGCGTGGCAGCGTCAGAGTCTCCCTGGCCGGCGACGAGATGGGCAGCTCCGACGTCGAGAAGGATGCGCTGCGGTGCACGGCGGGCCTTCGGCTCCACGTGTCCGAGGGCCTGCCCGGTGCACCGACGGGGCTCTTCAGCTTCTCGGTGAGCTCACGGAGTCGCGACGCCGTCGTCGTCGTTGTCGTCGCCGCCGAGGAGTCGCCGGCGGGCGGCGTCGTCTCCATGTCCGCGGGGGCCTCCGGTGCCGCGGCGGCGCGCTTCTTGCGGTAGCGCGAGAAGTCAATGGACGCCAGGATGGACTTGATCTGCTCGATCTCGAGGGCGTCGTCGCGGGCTCGCCTGGCCAGCGTCAGGTAAGCCGGCAGCTGAGGCTTGGCGCGCACACGGGGCGAGCTGGGCTGCGAGCGGGCGCAGCGCGAGTTGAGCCGGGACGCCGCCTCGCCGGCGTCCGGCAGCATCACGGGCCCATGGTGGGGTCCCTCCAGCTGGCTGCAGATGTGCTCCAGCGAGCGCAGGATGGCGTCCAGAGGACCCGCGCCGCCGGAGGCTCCGAGGGCCGAGTCACCTTGCGACGAGGGGCCCAAGATAGCGCCGCTATTCTCGGCCCGGGGCTCATCCGAAATAGCGGCGGAGGAGGCCTCGGGGCCCGGGGCGCGGCAACACAGGGCCTGCCAGGCGAGCCGCACGTCGGCGCAGCTCGAGCCCTCGTCCAGCGACGCCAGGGGGCCCTGGGTCTCCCGCAGCGGGGTGATCGCGGGCGCAGAGACCTTCTTGCGGGGCACGTGCGGCACGGCCAGGCGCTGGGCGGCCGCCTCGCACAGGCACTCGGAAGTCGGCTGGGCGCAGCAGTGGCAGGGGCCGCCGCGGGCCCCGTCGGCCCCGGGCTCGGAGTCGGCGCGGGTGAGCCCGAGGCGCCCGTGCAGCCGCGACTTGGCGCTCAAGGTGGGCGAGCCATGGTCGCGAGCCGCGCGGGCTTCGAGCTCCCGCGCGAGCTCGCGCACGGACACGCGGCGCTCTGTCATGGGACCGGCGCGGCCGTCCCGTCGTCGTCGCTGCGCCGGCGGGGTCGGAGGGCGGATGACAGCATCCTCGCCAGCTGGGACCGCCGGCTCCGCTGACGGGCCCGCGGCGTGGCGGAGCCCTCAGCTGCCAGCTCGGCGCGCGGCGGAGCGAAAGAGGGACAGGACCTGCGGGTTGGCCGCTCCGGAACGGGTCGGCGGAGAGGCTCGGCGTCGTAGTGGCGGGGAATCAACAGGTTGCCCGGGTCGGAGCGGTCAACTCGCTGCACTGGCCCGTCGCTGCTGGCGCTCGACTCGGGCTGCGGGGCGGGCGGCTGGCGTCGGCATGGTCGCGGAGGGCCCTGGGTCGCCGTGGGCCGCGGACACCGCCGCGGCGGGGGATCGGGCGACGGCAAACGCCGACGGGGACGCGAGAGCGGGATGACAGCGGCAACAACAGGCGGCGGGAGGCGCCGAGGGAGCGCTGGCAGCATGGCGCCGCGAATGTGGTGCGCGGCGCCGCCGAGAGATGGAGGCACTATACCGCCACCTCTTTCGGTGTGCCTCGATTTTAGAGGGGTACCAGGCGTTCGATCGGGACACGTGGTTTATGGGTTGCATTAGCCATATGATGTGCAAGGAGGAGGCGCAAGCGTTGATCGTCTGCAATCTCTGCCGTCTCTCGGCTGCGGAGCTCCGCTGACTCTTTGCCGACTCCGTCTCTCCCCTCGTTCTTCTCCTTGCCGCTTTACGATGCACGCATGCGTAGGGAGGTGCACCCGGTCTGAGCAGAAGGCAACGTTGGCAGGAGGCGTCCGCCATTAAATTGCAAGACCTCTCGGTGGTTTCGAGTTGCGCCCTCTGTAAGATCTGGGCTCTCCAGCCGGCCCGCGTCTTCCGCCGCCCACACTGTGTCGCTGGGTCGCTCCTTGAATCGGGGCATTAGCCGCATCAATTTCTCAGAAATGGGCACTCACCTTCGTTTTGAAACTCTCGGGCTCTTTGCGCGCAGCGACGGGAAGACTTGTGGACGTTTCTTTGTTGAACGACGCTGTCACTTTTCTGTTTGCCGCTTTTTTTTTTTTCCACCTTTGCGGGTTACGACGCTGTGTACGTTTGCCTGAGTAAACTTCATGGAACGGGTACTATCTTCTTCGTGATTATCCGCTCCACCAGAACAATCTCAATTCTTTGATGATGCAGTTTGCTCATGGTATGCAACAGTGACATAGGACCTCTCCCTAATTTCCTACGGGAAGTACACTGCACAGACCTATGGCACACACACACATACCGGACGCCCCCCCCCCCCTTTCCCAAATATTTTTCACCCCATCATGATTGATCATTTTGAATAAACACCTTGTCTGCAAAACTTGGATTGTTTTTTTTTTTTTTCTTAATTCCTTTTTTTTTAAAATCGCGTCAGCATTTATTGTCTTATAGCATGTACCCGTCTTTCGTGTGGACGGCCGTGGTTTGGACTGAACTGGACTGGAATAAAATTGAAGACTGAGCTAGTTGGTAGTTGTTGAACATGGTGATGAAAAACGACGCAAACGACAAGGACAAAATAGGAACATGCACGACGAGACATGACACCACAGGACACTTCCACATCGCTCGTCCTATCGCGTAGGTTCATATTTTGTCCTTGTCTTCTGCTCTGGTTTTCATCACCATAGACTGGACTGTTTCCGCGAGGCCGATGCGCAGTTCCCGCCGTACTCTCTAGCTTCGTTCGTTCCCCTCTCAGGCGCACTTCCAACGGGCGGGTTAAGTCCGCGCTCTAGCTGTATGTACTCCTACTACGATGCTCCGAGTTTCATGCTCAGAGTGCAGAAACGTAACGTAGCATTGCGTACGGGAGCGCGATACACCGAAACTATGGACGAGCCGCATGAGCCACTTCCGATCGCACGGTTATGAAGAACCCGGCATCTCGTGGATACGGGTGGCAGAAGCCGAAATTATTGCCAAGATAGATTAAAGGCCTCTGTGAAGCGGCGAAACGCAAAGTAAAAAATAAAAGGTGGCGACGTTAGGAAATTTCTACAAAAGTTTTAATATTCCCGAAAGGTTCCAAGGCTCGTTTCATACATATTTGCGGAAAGTTACCTTGACTGATGTACTTATTGACCATGCACGCTGTTCAGATTTAAATGGAAGACAGCGTTCTTGAACCCGCTTATTGACGCAGGGAGCTGTCAAACTTGTCAGGTGTTCCGTGCCGTCTTGCAGCGTGAGGCGGAACCCGTCATCTGCCACGCCGATACCGGCACACCAACGTTCAGTAGATAGCACGTCGGTTCGTTTTCAGGCGAGATGCGTGAACAAACCTTTTCCGCAGCGCTAACCACTGTTTCGGATTTTCAATTAAAGTATTTAATGTGAAAGCATTAACTGGGTCTTATGGAGCGATCCTACGCCACCAGCTTTGAAGCCGCGCCAAACGGCACCTTAAATCCTTTGTCCAAGTGAAGCCAGCACCCAGTTATGAAACCACGGGAAAAGCCTGGACAGCGGCACCTAGTTTCCCCGATCCCAAAGGAGCGCAGTAAAGCTGCTGGATGTCGGCTTCAATCGCACTGGTTGGCGCGCGTCATAGTTTCAAGAAACGAGGCTCCCATTGGCCGCTGCGCGTCCGTTTCAACCACCGCCACCTCATCGCGCTGCGTGTCCTCGAGGCAGCGGCTCCACCGCTCCATGCCCAAGGTCAGCGCGCCGAGGTTGTTGTTGTTGTTAGAACGTTCTTTATTGCCCTGTTATATATAATATATGTATGTATATATACCATACACACATATAATGCACCATTGTCGTCTGCATCGGGGCGGGCCTAAGGATCTGCCGTTGCCGTCATGGCGGTCTGGGTGGGTGTTGGCGCCAGCGCCTCCGGCTGCTGCAAAGTCGTCCAACGGGGCCGTCGTTGTCGTAGACGAACTCCGCCAGCTTTGTCCACAGCACGGAGAATATCGTCTTGCCACGACTGGTGGGCAGAATCCAATCGAGGACAGCGCGCGCGCTCGACCGTCAGACAAACAAGGAAGCGGAAAAGCGGCGTGCATGCTTTCGCATTCACAACTCATAAGAAGTGCTCAGGTGTACCTCGAGCCTTTTTTATTCGCTGGGCTAAGCATTTTAAAAAAAGGGCAACGGGCCGAATGGCTTCTCATTTCGACAACTCTTCGGTCGCTGTGCAATCGGCACGCTACCGTTATAGATGAATTCGTTTTCAGGCGAGATGCACAAACAAACGTTTTCCGGAACACTAATTGCTGTCTTGGATTTCAAATCAAATCGTTTTTGCCCGCTGGTTTAAGCACTATTCAACTATAAAGAAGAAGCGGTCCGGCTGCGCGCCCTTCTTCTCGGATGGTCTCGAAGGTCTCGACAACAGCGCAGCCATCTTGTTTGTGGACGTGACGTCATGCTGCGCGTAGAAGTCACTCGCGCTCCGAGAAATACTCGGTGCATGAAGAGCGCACTCGATTGTCTGTCCCCGGTGGCACTCCTCTCCGTTTAGTGAAGGGAGCACTAAACCTTCGCGCTTCGGAGCACGGACAGCGGGAAAGGAGCGAATCTTGTGGCAGTGGCGCGACGGTTTCGGCAGCGCAAAACCGAGGCGCAGCGACGACACCACTTGCGCGAAACCGCCGACATCCAGGAGGAAGGATCGACTCTTCGAAGACAGCTGTATTGCGGGCCGTATACGCGGCGAACGAGAGAACCTGTAGTGGCTGCATTGAAAAACCGCCGACGCCCTGGAGCACAGGTTAGCTCTCCGAACAGAACAGTACGCGGACCTTTGCGAGGTTGGAATTCCCGTCCTTCGCAGAGTCAGAGCCCCCGCGCTAAATGCGAACACATTTCGTCGAGAACGAGCGTAACGACAGCGGCGATTTCGGCATAATTTTTGTTTTCTTTCTTCGCGAGGCGAAGGTTGCCAAATGTTTGATCCCCTCACGACGGCACACCTCGGAGGAAATATACACTTTAGAGGGGTTGACGTGTCTCGTGATTCCTGCAATTAAATGTTCCCTGGGCGAGACATTGAACAAGTCTAATGTGATCAATGCCACCGGAGAAACTCACAAAGGCCTCTAATTCGGGGGCGCGTTTTTCCGCATAGGAAAGCACAACCCCCCCCTTTCCTCTCTCTCTCACACAGGCACACACACGCACTCACACGCACACACACGCACACACACTTTACAGGGAATTCCGAAAGATGAATCAGAACCGAACGCAACGAGTGAAGCTAACAAGCAATGCTGATGGTAGTTGAGAGAGGAAACGACCAGAGCCGGCTGCAGAGCCGCTCTCTGACTGGAATGATGAGTGGGCAGAGGATGCTGCTTTTGTCTCCACTGCACTCTTCGGAAGCGTTTGAACGCTCGCGTCCGGTTTTCGGTGTTCGGGTTCCGACGCCTTCGAACAGCGAGCAGAGACGACGGTTTTTCCCCACTAATCACTCCAGTCTGAACACCGATCTCTGATTCCCTCCTCTCCCTCAATTTCTAGCCGCATAATGTAATTACGAACGAACTCTGGGCGTAGTCATCGAACATAAGACAGCTAATCGCCCGGACCGCGCTTCGGCGCTACCCGTGTGCATCAATTAGCGACCCATTGGGTTCACGCATGATGGAAGAGTCGATTTGTATTCACTCCATCGCATGGTGAACTGGCTCCTTACTGCCGAGCGGACGTGGCATAGGGAGGGTGCCCACGCTCCGTTTCAGTTTAGGATGGAGCACAGCGGACGCTGCCAGCCATCTCCGCCAATCCGGAGCGGCTAACGCGTCACGTGACCCAATGCTCGCCCGCTTCTTTCTACCATAAGTCACGTGACATTCACGCGGCCCTGGATTGGCTCCGCTGGCTCGTAGCGTCCGCTGCACTCCGTCGTGAGGTGAAATGAAGTGTAAGTCGGGCTGCGAACGTATATCACTGCCACCAACTGCCCAGAGAGGCTCGGTTCGCAGTACGTGAATTTAAACCAGCACAAACTAACGAAATCACTTAACGTTATTGATGTTGCTGTTGATGTTTTCATTTTTAAGCGAACGCTTTATTGAGCATCAAGGTGCACTCGACAGGAATATACCGCTGGCTTAGTAATGTATCGAGCCACCTATTTAAATGTGCAGGTCAGTTGATTGGACCGATGTATCCGTTTCTTTGTGCTACTGCGTATTGTAAATTTTTTTTTCACGGAGCCACGCAGTCGTAATGGACGTTTTTTGAGTAACGAGCACCATGGGGGTGGGGGGGGGGGGGGGGGGGGGGGGAGGGAGGGCAACGGAAGAGGGGGAGGTTTCTGCGAGTAAAAAATTAAAAGGCAGCCCAACGTGCGTCCGCTCGTCAGAACACATTGACACCGTGGTGTTGTATAGGTTTTCATCGCTTTTAATGCCCCATACAACCGATGCCAATAACCTATAGAAATCAAAGTTATTATTATTAATATTATTATTATTATAATTATTATTATTATTA